CTCTGGGTATGCTTTAAGCAGTAGAGCGGATTGTTCTAGAAAGGCCTGGCTTGTGGGTAGGTATGGCATTTTGCCTGGTTTGATTTCTCGTCTTCCTTCAGAGTTGTGCGCGCAATGGCTAGACTGTTTGTGAGGGGTTCCAGATGCACAAGTGTGGCTAATGGCTGACTGCTGGGGATTTCGTTTATGGCGGATGCAATTGAGCTGGAGATGGGGTGCGAACTGCGGACATTTGACAACGTGGAGTCGGAGAACGATTCATTTCGCTGTCGGTGGTCGAGGCTTGGCGGAGCTGCCAACTGGACCGCTACAATGTATGCAGGAAATCTTAGCGTCCAAACTGAACACGGGCTTGCCCTAAGATTTGATTAACCAAGCGTATTGGAAATGTTGATATGTAATTTTTTACACCCCAAGTTCATGCCAAAAAGAAAACATCCCATCATCCGTCATGATCGTCCATCATCATCTCGTGTACTGTACAAGCTGCTCAATACAACCACCCCTATAGATTTGAATCCATAATAGACAAGTGACACCCCAAGATGCAAAATACTACTCAAGAGAATAGAAGAGCATATACAGATAGTGTAGGTAGATAAGCTCCATTAGTGCTTAGTTGATAGGTCGATGACAGCGCACGCAGACCAATTTCTGCTTCCCGGTTCGCGACTTGGTTGCTCGAAAATTCGTCCCTTGGCAGTTATCACACCTGAGCACGTCTCCCTCGTCTCCCTCTCCGTTGGAGGAGCCGTAATCGCTGCTCAAAGCGCTGGCCATACTGAATTTGCGTCCAGGAACAGACAACCTATTGGAATCCCGTGGCTGAGATGGCGTCTTGTTCTGCGCAGCCAGCGCATCATGCGTGATCTTGTTCCAGAATGCATAGCTCTGTTGCCCCTGTAGCCACAAAGGGTTGTCCTTGTCCTTCCCCTTGGCGACTATTGTCGTCGCAGACGGGGCCATTCCGACGTCCTCCGCGTTGCGCTTGGAGGCTCCTGCGCTGGACCGTCGACTATCAAAGGATGACTTGTACACGGATGGCGGGGGAGACACAGTGAGTGAGAGAGAATCGGCAGGCGCTCCTCCTGAAAATTGACGTACTGGGCTTGAGTAACGTGAAATATCGGGTATAGACTTGTGGGGAGACGGAGTCCGAGTCCTCGTTCCCTGACGGGAGCCTTCCCGCTTCGCTATGTCGTGCCCTATGACCGAGTTGCGCCAAGAGATGATGCGCTCTGAAGGTGTCTTGTGAGATGACTCCTTCCCGATTGAAGACGCAATGCTTTGGCGAGCTGAATTGGATCGGCGCAACAGTCTCCTGGAAATAGTGGAATGGGTGTCCCAATTCTCGTAGCGGCGTTTTTGGAACGCGCAATCTTGCCGCAGAACTCTGATCTTGCCGGAATAATCGGCGACGATGATGATATTGCCTTCCGGGTGTGTGGAACGTGAGAGATATGATGGCGATTCCTGCGCCAGCTTGCTGATGTCGGAGTTGCGATTTTGGCGAGCATTTTCCTTCTCTGCGGCGCTCACCAAGGTCACAGGAGGTGGATTGCAGATGTCGTACACTGGATCTTCGGAAAAGCCCAAGTTCTGCTTTGTCTTCGACGGAGCCATTACAGCTGCGGTGACAATAGCGGACCGTGTTTCGAAAACTTCAACAGCTCGCTTATCGGAGTCTTTCTCCATGGCACCTGTAGGCCAAACATATGCCCTGCGATCTTCACTCCCGCAAATGACATGTTTGCCGTCGTCACTAAAGGAGGCACGGATCTGACTGCATGTGTTCTCATTGCCGCGATATTTCGCTTCTAGTGTCTTATCCCTGAAGTTGTATTGTCGTATTCGCGAATCATTACTTGTGATCAGAAGCTTGACCTCACCATTGGGGTCGCCGGGAGGTAACGTAATGGTATCAATGCCTGTAATCTTACTGCCTTTGGCGTTGCGGCCTCGCGCGGATCGAACGTGAATCTGCCCAACCGCCTTCAACCCATCCGTGTCGTATATGTTGCACATACCATTGAGACAACCGGCAATTGAGTACCTACCATCAGGCGTGAAAGCGACCGATGTGATCATATCTGGGACCGCGGCGACGAACGCCACACTTTTGTCCGGAATGCTCCAGAGACGGAGTTTAGTGTCGAGAGACCCTGCAAGAAAAAACCGATCGTCACGGGGGTGGAATTGGATAGAAGTGACAAAATCACTGTGCTGAAAGCAGCATAGACACTCCGACCTTGTCACATGCCACAAGCGGACAGTCTTGTCCATTGAGGAAGACAGTAGAAAGCTATTCTGATCACCGCGTCAGACTCACATTATGGGCCTCTTCAATGTGAGACTCGTACCTTACTCCAACTTAGGTCCAGCACGCTTCCAGTGTGACCTTCGTACACTTGGATCGGCTTCGTTCTAAAGACAGGCGCCTTCAGCCGGGGAGGTTCGTCCGCATCTTGACCTTCTTCGCCTTCAACGAGTCCTTCTTCTTTACGATCTTCCGGAGAAGCAATGACGGCCCAAACGCGCACTCTTCTGTCTTGACCTGCCGCTGCTAGATACTTGCCATCCTTCGAGAATGACAATGCCCATATTGCTTTTCCGGTATTGCTGCCGCTTGGCGCCCCCTTCGTCGATCCCGTTGCGTCCTTTACCGAGGGGTTCGAGGATGCCTCTGCGTCGGTCAATTCCTGCGCGAGAAAGACCCTACTAAACGTTTTGTCTTTCTTGTAGTATGCCTTCACCCTGATGTACTTTGGCGGAGGAGGAAACTTGGGAAAGAAGCCTATCGGTTGCGCTGCGGCGTTGGCATCCATGCGGAAAGTGTCCGGTTCCGAGACATCGTCCTCTGCTTCAGACAAATTATCTTTCTTCTTGCCCCCAATTATCCGACTAAGGAACGATACTCCTTTCCTGTGAATCGCAAATTTGCGTCGTTAGCATCAAGTAGTTGTTCGGAAAGCAGCGATGACCTTCAGTGTTGGAGAGTAAGAGGCCGTTTACACGCGGGGTGCGGCTGACAGGGATCATATGTTGGAGGACGATTAAAAGATAATGACCTGTTGAAAACTGAACTGGAAGAGACATGTGGCACGTACCTTTTCTCTTTGGGAGGCTTCTGGCGCAACACAGGATCCCCCGGGATCGAGCTCTGCTCAGCTGGAGAGTAGTCATTCGCTCCGCCAGCTTCCGCTTCATATGATGCTCTTCCGAGGAGCTTCAAAGGAATCGATCGTTCGGTATTGGTGCGCTTAATGATGTGCTAAAATCGCCAGTAGCGCATCAGTCCTCAATGCTTTTCACTCTAACATGACATTGTATTGTAAGGTGAGGAATGAGAAGAAACTCACTTGCGACAGCGGATCGATCGCGCTAGAATCGGCGCTGGGCCCATAGAGCGTCGGGGAGGAAGTGGAATTTCTGCCATAGGTATTACTGTGAATCGATGCTCGGGCATTCTTCCTCGCATCTTGCTGATTTGCGCTTGAGCCTGATGCATTATCGGACGCGACAGAACCTATCAAGAAGCCCCCGAGAAAAGCAAATAACCATCAGCGGGTGACACATAACAGAATCATTGGTGATTGAATCGCGGGAGCCGGAACGAACGGGACTGATTTGTTTGAATGACCAGTCCTTAAAAGGATGACGATAAGAGCTGCACATACCGATAGGGAAAGACTGTGAAGTTCTTAAAAGTCCCGGCGAGGCGACATTGGGGCTATCATTATTATTGTTGTTATCATCATTGTGATGACCTTCCTGGCGACTGGTCGCGGTGGTGGTGATGATTGCGGGCAACACGGGGGCTGTTGAGGCCCGCGACACCTGGACCCTTTGATCGTCCGTCTCCTGCAAACCCTCCGCCATAGTGAGGTTGAGGCTTGAAATTGTGCATATGGATTTTAGACAGAGACAGGTACGATGTATGGGAGAATTTCAGGTGGAGAGGACGTAGAAGAGGCCATAGAAGAGAATGACAGGGCTCTAAGCAACTTGGAGTAGGGTCATGATAATAAGGTAGGTAACAAGGATGATGATAATAATAGTAGATAGGTAGTTTAGTTAAGAGGTCATGATTGATTGATTATCATTACTCTGTGTTTAGTGTGGTGGAATGAAATGAAAGTAAACGGCAATATCCGGATGAGGGCTTTTGCAGCAGAATGGATGACATCAAAGCGGGACATCATAGACAGTATATATCTAGGGCTTTTTTCTCTTATCTTTTCGGACAGAGATTCTGGGAGTTCCATCCTTTCATTCTATTGGGATCCATGGTCCTGGTAGAGCTTACACAGAAGCAACACAGAATCGGTTCAGCAAGTCTGGAACATTGGAAACCATTTACCGTTGGTTCCTGCCATAAGGAATCATATGAGAATGGATCATCGAATTATCGCAAGCATCCATAGTGATAGGCACGCTGTGGCAGATGAATCAGGGTCTACTACGGAGTATAATGGTCTAAGAGGAGTTGATGGCAACAACTAAGCATAATCTGTCTGATACACATTAAACAAACTGGGATAGTGATAGTTGTTGCACGTCAATCATCAATGTCTTGGACTCTTAGCCATCTATATATATGGTGTCGTTTGAACCCAGTGGACTCTCTTTGACAGAAAGATAGATAGATATCTACTTCTTTAGGAGATAAATGGACAGTCTTCAGTTCACAGAGCAGTTGGCCTGCTCTTGATGCCCCCCACTTCTAGCATAGCCACGATGATCACATTATCTAGGAAAAGTCCAGGCGCGAGACCCTGATATTAATTAATGAATATTAAACTCATTCGAAGCATTTCTAGAACCACCTCAGAGACAGTGCGTCATTGGCTATTGTAAAATAGGTCAAACTGTTGGATTTGTCAGACATCCATTTGCTTGTGAAGACAACAACATGAAGAAGAGCGTCAGCTTGCAGGAGCACTGAAATGGTCATGACTCTTTTTCATTCAGATCTATTGGTTCAAAAATAATATACAAGCTCAAATTCGGGACGACTGTTCCAGCTTCTTAGCTCGATCTTTGGCTATATCACACATTGCCTGTCAATGCCAAAATTAGCGGACTGTTCGTCACCCACAATGTTGTCGATCGACGGCGCCCACCTGGATGGTTTCCTGTATCTCTCGCTCAATATCGCCTCTGTCAATCCTCTGGCGCATTTCCTCCATGATGACATCTCTGCTTCTTCCATTGACAAACGTTCTAGATCAAGTCATCGGAAGGCATACGGTCAGTATACAGGAGACCATGAGTGCTGATAGTTTGACAAAGCACGTACACAAATCTCAGTCCCGGAAATCTCTCCTCATATTCGACATTGAGTAGCCTCAATTTCTCCGCTAGTTCTTCTGCCCCTGTATTCAGATTGGCCTGCTCTCTCTTACTGAGCTCGCTCATATGTTCTGTATCTGCAACTTTGGGCCTTCCGAGGCGTGGATGCGATCCTAAGATTCCTGTGAGGATTTCCTTGTCGGTGGGTGAATTTTGGGCGGAGAGTGCAGACATTCGGCCGCCTACTGCGTCGATGAGACTGTTATACGAGGAGAATGTTTGGTTGGATAGGACCGGAGCCATCAGCGTGTGGAGTTCTGGAGATGGCTCAAAGAGGGTATCGAGAGCTCTGAATTGCTCATCCTGTGGTAGAGACGGTAGTGGTGAGACTGGAGGAAGGCTGGAAGACATGATGATCGATGTTGCAGCTTTCAGCACCTCCGCCGGTACGTATGCGAACAATAACCTTGGATTGTGATATGAATCGCGAAGGAAGTTGGAGGGGCTTCTTGAGATATATACCAGGACCGATATCCACCCCGCATCGGGAGTCTCCGAGCTGTTTGTTGCTGACGGAGGCGGAGAGCTCCAGGGCGGAACGACACCATCATGGAGGTGGGTGGTTGAAAATACCAGTCATTTATTAACGAATGAAAATGAGAAATATCGAAGAGGGAATGATTCAGATTGACGTCGATTGGAATGTTTGATCGACGTTTCCATCTAGTCCATCTGTCAGAAGCTTATCTGGGAAGTAAGGTTATTCCTAGGAGCTGTCTGTTCGCCCGCGGAACTTCCAAGAGACATGCACGCAGAAAAGAAAAAAAAAAAAAAAAAAAAACATAAGAAACTCGAAATCAAGAGAGTTGAGTAGCTTTGGCGCTGATTGCTCTGACTGGCCTCCTTGCACGTAGTGGCTCATAATTTCTGCTTACATGAAAATGTGCAGACATATTGCTTCTTCTGCCTATCCAATCTTTAGGTCTGAAAAGGATGACAACATTCTTTGCTCAATTGATGGCAGCCATTTTGTTCCGCATTTCTAGGTTATTACCTATCTTCAAAGGCGTATCGTACGAAATACAAAGCAGTTATGTCCTAAACATTAAAGTATCTCAAGCAGCAATAACCGGATGATAAATATACTTGAGAGTTGAGAAGTCTCGGAGGAGGAGATCAAGGATAGCAAAAGTATGGCAACCGCACAGACCGTTGTCAACAATATCTCTTGCTGGTACCTTAATATTATCGAGGAATATCTATCTACCTTGGCTGACAATGATAGATCATATTTCATCCAAGCATAATGTAACTATCAAACGATAAAAGTTTGTGTTTGACCGAATGGCCTTGTCCATAAAGCCATCACTTGTTCTGATTGCCCCAGTCACAATGGGAATATCACCTGTCGTGGATCTTATGGAATTATCTGCCACTTTGTCTTTGATTTTTGGAACCTTCTATCGATACCTCGCTTGATCTCACCACTTGCACTAGGTACCTAATTGGCATCGGGCCAAGGAACGTGGGGATATTTCGAGTTTCGACCCGTCCCTATCTCAGAAAGTGGAGGCAGCTAGTCCTCCACTAGGAGTGCCCCTGAACTCCTGAGACTCTGAGAGGTTCGTGAGGTAGATACATCTCCGTCAAGGGCGTCAAGTCCCTCTTTCATCCTGTCAATCCCTCGATAGCGACTGTCTATCGACTCTCTAGGTGGCAGTGCCTGATCTGGGCAGTGCCTCAGTCTGCACGCGTGTCGTCTTTTCCCACATTCGTTTCAAGGCTTCACCAACTGTTTGTACAAGTTGACCGCAATCCTCCTCCGATCTCTATCTACACTCTTTCATTGAAACAACCCCTCCTCTCAGGAACGGACGTTCCTTCTTCATTATCTATCACTCCATTGTGACATTTGAACCGGATACCCGCCTCCAATGCGGTTCCCGTCATGTCTCTTAATGGGCTAGATAATCCCGCTGTCATCGAAGCCTACCAGAGCGCTCTGGCCGAAGCGGGAGGATGGTTAGTTCACCTTCGTCAATAAATTTTGATCGGTCGCAATTGCGTTGCGTGGTTATGAATGATGATAGTTCGCGCGTTATCTATGCGAGCTGACACTCATTGCCCCATGGCATTTAGGTTTCTTCTCCGTTACGTATCAAGGGATGAGGTAAATCTGCTTGACCGAGGAACAGGCGGGGTGCCTGATGTGCGGAGTGCGATCGACAGCTATGAGGAAATCTCCCCTCTCTACGGTTTCCTACAATATCGGCGGAGGAAGGTGGTGCTGAGCTACCTGCCGGAAGGTCTCTCGAGGCTTATACAAGGTACTTCCACACTGGCTCGATTGTGTGCTCTTTTCCCGCCAACCTATGATCTCGTTGACACGGTCTTGTGTGTAGCCCGAACCACAGTGCAGTTTCAGTCAATCTTGGACAAGTTCTCACCCCACGATACGGTATTCTCCTTCGCAAAGTCAGCAGATCTCACCGAGAGTGCATTGTCTTCTGCGTGCTTGTTACATGCTGCTTCAGGTTCTATCACCTCCTCTTCAAGCTCCCTCCGCCGTCGCAGGCTGATGGAAATTGCTGAAGATGCAGAGGAAAACGCCACGAGCAAGGACCAGACGCAGGCGCCATCTCCACATCCGGACAATCGACAAAGGTCGACCAGCCATGTATCCGAAGCTACCATAGTGCCCCCATCAGTCACTTCGAACCCTCGACAACCCTCCAATGGCGACGAATCACCCCTCGTCGCAAAGAGCCCCCAGGATTCCCAAGCCAGTGATCAAGTCTCTATCTCCTGGGATAGTCGATCTGAACGCCCCGCTTCACGAAGGAGATATGAGGATGACCTATCTTACACACCATCCGAATCGCGGAGGTCTACACAGTCGGCCAGGCCGTCGCTCAGGGACCTGGAGCGTGCGAGTACGTACACCCCGAAAGTCAAGCGTGGCCCTCGACCTTCGGTAGACGGGAGCGGGCGTCCTCGTACGGCAGGTAACCTGTCTCGAAACGCCGAGCAGCGGCCAGTAGCCTCTTTACCGGCTGGCGTTAGGACATCTTCGCTGCGGAAAGGCAACCCGAGCCCATCTCGTCCCCGTTCTCAGGGAAGCCCAGTGGCATCCGTGTCCAGCCGAACAGCTCCTCCTGTCCCGCCCTTGTTGGTGCCACCCCTATCAATGCCGATTTCGCGGCCTCAGCTCTCACCTGGTGCTAAATCACTGAGCGCTCTCTCTTCGTCTGGCACCTCAAATGAAAAGGAACGGCTGATGAAAGCTCTTCAGCTGCGAAAAACTCAAATGGAAAAGCGTGCGGCGGAGAGCAAAAAGGATCGAAAGACGAGAGATGAAAGATTGACAGATGTTGACGAGAACAAGGAGAACATCGATCAGGCTGGTGACAAGTTGAAGCATGATCAAGAAACTGCGGCGGTGATTGAACAAAGCAAAGAGCCTTGTCCTACGACGCAGCTTTCTATTGTGCCTGAATCGATCGCACTCCCTGACGGAAAGCTTGCTACGTCTGACTCCACAAAACCAGATTCCGCTGTGGGTATGGAGATGGCCAACTTCGATGACGAACAGCTTCCCAATCAGTCGCTTCCGAATACAGGCAACATTCTTACAGCCAATCCACAAGAACTGTCGGAGACAGACCAGTTACAGGCGCCTCAAGTGCCTCCGAAAATTGAAGCGGACGCTGCCGACAGAGACTTGGCCGTGTCCGTTGACAACGACACTAAAAGTGGCACCAGCTTGCTTAGCGCCGCCATCCATGTCCCACCCCAAGATTTTGAAAAAGCTGCAACAGAGGAAAACCAAGAATTTGTTCCCTCTCCTCCACATCCGGAGAATTATTCTGTTACTGGCCAGGAAGAGGCGTTGACAGCGATTGACCTGGCCGATTCAACAATCCTGCCCCAATCTATTCCTCTTCCCGACTCGCCAACCTTCAATTCCCAGTCGAGCTTCACTCCTGAATCAACGGCAATAGCACCTTATCCCGCCGAGCCGCAGAATGACTTGACCCCTGAATCCTCGAATGCGGATTCGAAGAACGTGAACACTCGAAAGGACAAGCGCAAACCTCAGCTCGAGCCTATTCAGGTACCCACTCCAGACTATTCTGATGACGAAAATCTCCTTTCGGATGATTCCTTCATGGAAGAACTGAAAAGCGCCACTGTCGAGGAAGCGAAGCCTGTTTCAGTCGGAAAGTCGCCGTTGTCGCCTGTCTACTCAAATAACAATGACCAGATAAGCTCTCATGCTTGGAGGAATTCGCGGGCAGTTTCGAACCCGAGCGCCTTGGGACACCAATTGTACAATATGCAGTCACTCACCGGGGGCAGATCCGTATCTGGTCCCAATGGAGACATGGATGGCTCAACAGGTCCCGTGCTTGTGGCCAAGAAGATCAACGTATCATCGGGAATCTCAAAGCGCATCAAAGCCTTGGAGAAGTTCTCTAACAGCCGTGAAACATCATCGAACTCAGGATTGAACCTAGCTCCACCTACTGCATCCTCTTCTTTCGAAGCTCTTCGAAAGCGAGCCTCCGTGTCGCTCAGTGGGGCCAATTCGGACGCCGGCTCAATTTCCCGACATGGCTCTTATACCCCAGAAGCTTTCTCCCGAGCTCCTAGTGTCAAACGTCGCGACTCACAATCTAGCACGAACGCTGCGCGCACTACGAGTTCCATTTCGGTGACTGCTCAGATAGTCCGTGACGCAGCCAATGCCCCTAGCGATTCAAAACCAGACCTGCCAGACCCGGACGTACTCAATCTCCAAGCTAGTCCTTTGACCGTTGAACGTGAGCCTCTTGAACCGACGATTGCCAAATCAGAAAAACGTAGTATGTCTGCGTCTTCTACCAATTCTGGTCACCAGTCTCGAGCCGCTTCGGTGCCGCGGTCTGAGAGCAGATTGTCCATCTCCTCTGTCTCGAAAAAAGAAGAAGCCTTTCTGTCAAAATCGACCAGCGATTTATCTTCGTCCCCTGAGGGGAAGAGGACCTCTCGCGCTTCTCGACTCCTACGCCGCATGTCGTCGATAACGTCAAATTCAAGGAAGAGTGTCATTGGGGCATTCAGTCCTTCCGTCAAGGAAGAAGAAAGCGCACCGGCTGCTGCTGAGAAGCCGAAGAAGGCTAGCGTGAGCACCGCGGCAATCGACATCGGCGAGGTCAATGTTCAGTTCCCTGACACCCTCCTCTGGAAGCGTCGGTTCATTCGGATCGATCACAAAGGATATCTGATATTGACCCCTGGAAATGTCGATTCGAGCAGCCGCAACATGATCAAGCGGTACCATCTGACTGAGTTCAGAACACCGTGTATTCCGGATGAGGATCGTCAAGAACTCCCCAACAGCATTTTGCTTGATTTCTTGAATGGCAGCA